AAAGTACCATGCTTCAGCAGGTTCCAATTAAAGTAGGACTAATTCAAAGTGCATTGAAGTTAATAAGAGACTTTTTGTTTCTTTGCTGTTGGGGCTTGGATGAGACATCAGTATCAGAAATGGTATCTATAACATGTGCAGATGTTTTTTTAATGTAGTCACTGCTGCAGGAGAGACAGGAATTTTCCTGTGCCATCATCAAGCTCTACCCAACAGCTTCAAAGGAAAATTGCAATTCATCTTTTTTCACAACTAAAATGCTAGGTTCAGAAGTGAATTCACCTAAAACACATACTAAATTTTTAATCTGTTTATTTTTGTTTCTGGCAAATGTTAATTTTTCTCAAGTAGTCAGTTAAAAAAAGACACTGTATTCAGGAAAAAAATGCCAAATCACTGGTTTTCTTTTTAGATCTTTAGACCTTAGGTGATAGCAAGACACTTTGAAAGTGAAAATTCTTTTCATTCAGTCAAATTTGGACAAAGCTTTTGAATATTCAATGTAAATAGACAAAGGTTTTAGGAACTGCCCTTTCAGCTTTACTTCTACTATGCCTTGACATTGGCCTGTATCTACAGAGAATATAAGCTTATAAACAGATGAGCTCTCAGAGACTGTTTTCACTTCCAGTAAGAAAAAAAATTGGCAGCATGACCACACTTAGCATGAGATGCCTTTTATTTTCTTCGAAGATAATACGACTTTGTTTATTTTTCCAGCCTTTTGCAAAATGTTTTATTCCACAGATCAATGACTGTCATAAAATATGACTTCAGATGGAAATTTCCTCCGCAATATCTGGGAGAAGTGGCTCACAGATGACTGCATTTTCTTTTTACTCTACACTCCAGCTGCTCTTAAACACAGTGTAATGCCTCCTTGACATGGTTTTGCCCTGAGAAGATTCTTCCTTTGTGATCATCCATACAGCTCACACAGGCGGGAATTAGTGCTCTTAGACCTTGCCTATTGCCGTGCCAAGAATCCATGCTAAGAGTTATGTACTTGCAGAGTACAAAACAGCTTTTATAAAGCTTATTTACCACCTAGAAGAGTTAAAATGGGATGTCAGAGTCTCCTTTAGAGACCAAGGAAGAAAATGAATGACGACTTCTTCCAAGGACTAGAAATTAAGCCATGAGTTGCAGTGGAAGGTCCAACAGTGGCCACCTTTATGCTTTCTTCTCTCAGAGCTCATAAACACTGCCACAAATAAGTAGATACCAATAATACCACTATCATGAGAGAGGATTTTTCAACATTGGTTAAGAAGCCTAAATACATCATAGAGAAGCTGTTGCTGGCTCACCTTTCCCAAGCCCATGTTCTACCCCAAAGCCTGAAGCAGCCATGCACGTCACCGTAAGGGATGAGCAGTGGAATTGGGATGAGTCCTTGCTGGGGGCTGCCCCTTGCCGTCAGCCTGTCCCGGGCATCAGTCCTGGGAGCACAGCAGGCAGGGAGGACAGGAGACCTTGTGGAAGCCCCATGTTACTGTCCAGACTGCTGGCACAAAGACGTTCGAGGCAAAGGGAGAGATGGGGAAACTCAGTCACTGAGCTGCCTCACTCCTGAACAACACTCAAGTCACAGGCTTCTCTACAAGTGAGATTTAAATAAATAACATTTGCTCCCAAACTAGCAGAAAAGAATAAACATTTTAAGATCTTTTGACTATTCTATGAGAGAATAAGAGGCCTTGCTATACATCTAAAGAATTAAATTGTCTTAATTGCATCCTTGTGTAAAATAAAGCATTAATTTTTAAGTGGATGGAAAAATCCACTGGGTTAAAGGAATACTACTGTCAGTTAAATGTATTCCTGCATTTGTGTAGTGCAAAAACAAGCTTTAATAGAAACGAAGAGTCTAATAGGAACATTTCCATGAATTTAAAAATAACAGCAGTGGAAACAATCTCATAAAATAAGTAAACCTCTCCCTTCAATATTTGCAACTGAAGTATTTAGGGCCTGGGAATGTGAAAGCAACTATAAATTATGAATGATGTGCTTTGTTCTACAATACAAGAGGCCAGGTTTTATATTCCTTGTCTAGCTGTGGCTTCCGTAACTTCAGTACCAGGTGCAAGGGATGTAGCATTTATCCCACCTAAAGAAGGTGGAGAAATTACCTGATATGATATTCACCCATCAGGTTTCCAGTGGATCACAGCAGATACTCAGAAGGATACCTGTCTTGGAAGGAAGGCTTATTTGGCATGAAACTTCATACCTACTGAAGGCTGTTTTCTCAACCATTAAAAAGACTAAATATATTAGTTATGGATAACCTGACATTGATCAACTGTATCCTGAGCTGCACCAAAAGCAGCATGGCCAGCAGGTTGAGGGAGGTGATTCTCTACCTCTTCTCCATTCTCATAAGACCCCATCCAGAGTGCTGCATCCAGCTCTGGGATCCTCACACAGGAAGGGCATAGAAGCATTGGAGCAAGACCAGAGAAGGGCCACGGAGATGATTAGAGGGGTGGAGCACCTCTCCTATGAAGAAAGGCTGAGAGAGCTGTGCCTCTTCAGCCTGGAGAAGAGAAGGCTATGGGGAGACTTTTTAGCACCTTCTAGTACTTAAAGGGGGCCTACAGGAGAGCTGGAGAGAGATTTCCTACAAGGGCATGTAATGATAGGACAAGGGGCAGTGGCTTCAAACTAAAAGAGAGTTGTTTTAGATTAGATATTAGGAAGAAATTCTTTACTGTGAGGGTGGTGAGGCCCTGGAACAGGTTGCCTAGAGATGATGTGGATGTTGTGGATGAGAGATGCTGTGGATGTCCCATCCCTGAAAGTGTTCAAGGCCAGGTTGGATGGGGCTCTGAGCAACCTGGTCTAGTGAAAGGTGTCCCTGCCCATGGCATCCCCAGTTGGAACTAGATGATCTTTAAGATCCCTTCCAACCCAAACCATTCTATGATTCCATAAAATGAAGAACATGAGATGCAAAGTTCACCCAAAGAAGAAGATACCAGAGTCCCTGATTGTGCCCATTACACTGCTTTATCACTAGACTGGTCGTCTTCTCAGAGCACTGTGCTCATGCTGGGTTAACCGGGGATGAACTCTCTTGGAGACAGTCTGTGTTGAGACTTGGTCCATGCTGGCTCAGAACAAGATAAGGTACTTGCATTTATGACACTGGGAGCCAACTTCTTCCTCTAAATCACCTTTTCAGTAGTTTCTCTTGTCCCCCATCTCCATCTTTTTTTTCCTCCAAACTGCTGCCAGGGAGACTGCTTTGCCTCTCTTCCCTAACATGCAAACCATGCTCCTGTCAATGTCACTGTCAGAATTGCTTTTGAGTCCTCATCCCACTCCCTATGCTGGGCTGTGCTCGTATGAATTTGCCAAATGTCTGTACACCTGCTCTGGGATGGTTTTCAACCTAAAAAGAACATGCTGGCATTAAAGCATCATGAGAAAAATAAATCCCAAACCCTAAATTGATTTACATTGTTTATCTGGAATTTGTTGAGTAGAATATGAATAGTTAAGATATGAATATGATTAATTAAGATCTGAGTGAGGTATGACAGGATCACAATTTACTGAAGCTCAGAACTGTATACTGAAGATTGAAACCAAAATATTACCAAATTACTTCAGAACCTGCAGGAGCAGATCCTGCCAGGATATGTTCTTTGTTTCCATGCTTCTGAAAACCAAGGTATATAGGATTTCTTTAAAATCTCTTTGTCTTTCCTAATTTCCCATGTCTTTGAAAATCTGGGTATAGTAATAACAAAAAAAAAATTTTAAAAGCAGTAAAGTTCATTCTTGCCCCAATAAAGACTTCACACAAGGTTGTTAAGCTGCTAAATAAAACAGAGCAAATTTTGTAGGATGAGAAGTTCTTTGGCAATGACTCTGTAGACGAAACACTCTATAGTAGCTTGTTCATAAATAGACCTGGAAAACCTGCACTGAAACTTTGTTTTACATTTACTGTACAGCAAACTGCTCAGGGAGAATTAAAACGTATTCTGCCTCTTGTCATTAGGCCTCAGGGAGCAGCTGGTCACTTCCACTGCCTTTGGATACATACCCTGTGGATTGATCCCCACTTACCTGGTCAGCAAAAACCTCAGTGTTTTTTTCCAGCAGGAGTAAAATCTCCTAGACAGAAGGGAAGGAGGAGAAGAGCCCAAGCTTTACTGTTCTTTTGCATAAAATTTTATCTTCACCGCTGGTACAATTACAGCTAGCAAAGAACCAGGGATAGCATAAGCTGGAGGAAGAGCACTGCAAAGTTCATCTTGACCAGAAAAACCTGCAAGCTTCACTACCCTATTGGGCATGCAGTGGGCAGAGCAATGTGCCTATGGATGCTTGGCTTAACTGTGACACAAGAGTGCCTGGATCCAGAGCACAGCCCAAAAACTCAACAGGCACCAGATTGTCTCCCAGTTTATTAGTGGAGACAAACATGGACAACTTAGGAGTTGTTTCCTTTCTCAGGCTGCTTCTTGCTCTGTTTGCCTGGCTTTGCCTATCTTCTGGTCACTTTTCTACTGTGTGTCTTCCCTGAGAACTTCTCACCTGTGACACGGCATCTGCGCCCAGTGCCTGTCTCTTTGCAGAAACCTACACCAATTAAATAATAACGAGAGAAACTCTCACAGGCATGCTAGGTTTCTGTTACTTCCACTTAGGGCCATTTTCAAAGGCAGACTAAGGCAGCAGCCATCTATTCTAGCAAGAAACTGTATGCGCTGAAAATTTTATAAATGTGAAATTAGCCACCTGCAATAACTGTTGTAAAATTGTTAAATTAGTCATTACTTTCATTTCTTGCTGGGATATCAGGGAAATAGCATGAAACAGCACTAAAAAAGGCTCCTACATAGTCCAGAAAAGAGGTTAAACCAAGTGTTGCTCCCTCAGTGAAATCAGAAACCTTGCTGAACTCACTGCAGGGCTGCCTGCTTGCAAGAACTTTGTCACCCTATATCCCCACTGAAATAGCACAAAAGTGAACAGGAAACAATGATTCATTTTTTAATGCCTGCTAAAAATTAATCTGGCATGAAAAGAATTACAAGTCACAAGATGCCACAGAAAACTGGAATGTTTAAGCTTAATAAAATCACAGTTCCCAACTCCAGTTTTTTTCTAGTTTGAGGCATCCAATCTTCAACATACATTTCCACTCTCTAATTTAACGAAGTACGTGGAAGCTCTCAATCAATAGCATGGCTTCCCTGAAGCATGTACTGCATCACAGAAGGATCCACTTCTTCTGCTATCAGACTGGCTTGCAGACTTTGGATTGTTGCTTTTTTCCCCAAACGCTGTCTCCACAGGACAAATGCAGCTACGATCTGTGACTGCAGGTTGTGAGGGTGATTGACTTTACATTGATAGATGTCAGTATGGGACAAACCCAAGCACAGAACCACATGCTCCCATTCGGGTCCCAGCCTCCTCGCAAGCTTGTTCAGCTGCTGATCTGTTGGTGAAGTCTTCAAAATGCATGGTGCAATTACAGTTAAATCTGTAAAAGGAAAAAAAATATGAAAAAGAAAATGCATATATGTGTCACTAGGTAATGCTGTAAATATTAATGTGAGACCTTGACAAAGGAAGGAATAGGCATAAGCAAAGCTGAGGTGAACGAATTAATTAATTAAACAGAATACACATTCATGTAGAAAAATTAACTACATAATCAACCAGAAGATTAATCAGAGAAAACCTAATGCTTAGAGGACATACAAGGGAGACTTGAGGTTTCGGACATCAGTAATCCAGATATCAGAACTGTACACCAAAGCAAAGACTTCCAAAAGCAAGTATAGATTTTGGGGCAGTGAACAAGAAAGGTTTTCAAGGAACATGTTTCCAGCAGCCATCACCCTCTGAAAATCAATCTGCTTGCATCAGTATGATATAGTGACAAATGACAAATATGGGACCAATAACCCCTTATGTACTCCTATTCTGTGACACTGTTTATACACTTCAGAAATAACTTTGATTCTTTAGTTAGGTATTACTCTACAATTTTTTTTTTTGCTGAGGGCTGTTCACAGGAAATTCTTCTGTCTCCTAAGATGCTACTTACCCTTTGTACCTTGTAATATATGGCACACTCATCTTGAGGAGACCAGCTTTGGGGCTTTTCCTCTATTTGAAGGAATCCACCAGGTGAACCCAAATAAACAGGACATCAACACTGTTCACCAGTACACATTATGCTTGCTTATCCCTCACGCCACTTGTGGTAACACTCCTGAAAACAGGCATGTATGTGCTACAGCCCCATTCACCTGACCTCTTTGAAGCTGTTTTCAAGAGAGTGCAAGGAGGTCCCATTTTCTCTTAGAGATTTTTGCCCAATGTTAAGTCCCTTAGAATTGTCCAAGTACCCAACAGAACGCACTCCTCATCCGAAAAGATGTTTAGCATTGAACTGGTACCCGAGGAGGACAGGATCAATACAACTACCAAAACAGCTTTCACAGGAAGCATTAAGGTAGCTGTAACTGTCAGTGGTAAAAATAATTTCTTACATACACAACAGATCTCTTTATGTGTTCCCTATGACAATCTGATAATTTATAAAAGGAAAAAAAAAGCATTCATACGGACAGAGTTAGTAGCCAAGTGAGAATACAGTTCTATTCAGAAACATGCTGTATGGGATCCATGTCACCTAACTACAGCTAACACCTCCTGAACTAAATATCCTAGGATTAATTATTGCTAAGGAGAGAAACTGGCTCTTCTAATACAATCTCTCTCACTGGAAAGAAGATGTCTAAAATAATCAGATAAATTACTCCTGTAAACATGCACATTTCTCTCCACAGATTTAAAAGGAGCACTGGGTGTAAGCTCAGATGTTGACATTGGTGCTGTAAACACCCAGTGCTGATGAAATGATTCTCTGCCTATAAACTCAAACTATGTGCTTTAAAAAGGTGCACTTAGATAAACAGCATAAAATACCTATAAAGCATATTAATCTTCAATACCCCATGTGATCACAAGCTGAAATGGTCAATGCAGCCTGCAATTGCTGCTCTCCTGTTGCTGAAGATGCTGTGACAAAACACAGGCAAAATATCCCCATGAAAATGCTGATTATACCCTGTTGGTCTGAAGCAGCAGACTCCTTACAGAAGTGCTGCTTTGCAAAATCTAATTTGCAGCTCCAATGTCATGCTTGCAGTCTCCACTACAGCAGAACAGCAACATTACAAAGCATCACTCCTACATTTTATCAAAAGTAATTGTTTTTGCATAGAACACCCAGAGCCTGAAAATATTTGTACAATTTAAGCCCAATAATACATAAGTACTATACAAAGCTGCTTTGGGTAAAGGGAAAATTGCTTTCTGAAGAGTATTTAGGTCCCTTTGATCTTTCTGTCTCTAGATTGCCAAAGGAACCTGGGGCAAGTGCTGGTTTGGAGGTAGGGCAGAGGATACACAGCTTCTGAAGAAGGCTGAGCAATACCAGTGGGGATATCCTATGTTGTCACATTACACGTATACCAATTCCACAGGTAAGTCAGGACAAGGGAGTGCCTTTCATGAATGTAAATAATTGAGAATTAAAAAAAATATAGCTACACTGTGCTGCCACCAACACTGCTTTTTTGATATTAAACCCTTGACTTGGCTTTGGGTCAGCTACAAAGCATAAAGCAGTGTGCCCACAGCAGCAATACCTGCCAGCCTGGGCTTTTTGCTCTCACACTAGAATTTTTATACTTCATGTTCACTTGCAGAATCATTTTATGACACTGAAATGTGATCAAGCAGGGAGGCCTAACAATTATACAGGTCAGCATGTCCATCCAGCCTTTGATATTAGGTAGGCTTTTTTACTACAACGAGTATCTTGCCTTCAGTCTGTTATCAGCCCTTTAATAAGAATCAGAATAAAACCCATCCAGGAAATCTTTTCATCTTAGGCTACCATCTGATTCTAATATGGATGTGGAAAACTCTGGGACAGAAGCCAAATGTTAAATTTAATACAAAGGACAGTTATTTTAGTCCCATTTTATTTTCTGTGATAGCTCACTTTCAGCTTTGATACAAAGTCACTGAAGAAAATCTAAGAGAAATATTACATGACAGGTAGTGTTATTTAGAGGTATAGAGAAATATTTAATGAGATCTTTCAGTTATGACAAATGTAAAATCACAAAAAGATTTGGTTATGTTCTAGGATTAATGCCACTCCCAATTTAGTAAACATAATGGCATTTCAGTTGAAATGGAAATGAGTTCTCTGTGCTCAGCACCTAAACTGCTTTGAAAACATTGCAAAAACACTAAAGATGCCTTTTTTTTAAAGTTATGTTTATTACAAACCCTCACTTATAATCTTCATTTGTCAGGAACTGCCTGAGGAAGGAAACAAAATTAGGGCAAAAGTTTCAATTATGCAGATCCTGCAGTTGCATTTGAAAGGTACTTTTAGGATACTGAGACTTCACGTTTGAAAAAAAAAAATGTAAAGCTCTTCTTGCTTTAGGTGGATCTGATGAGGCATATGCACTTTTGTTAGGCACATGCTTCAGCTTACCAAAGTGAGGACTGCACTGTTAAAAATGGGCAGAAGTGGGGCCTGGGACACCACCAGAGGGTGTTGAGGATTTCCCTGAAGAAGGTGATTTGTGGTGCTGTCACCTTCAGTGAAAGCACCAAGTGGAACACTGTGTCCAGCTGTGGACAAGGTCTATGCTTTGAAGTGTCAGGGCCACACACTGCAGAGATCTAGAGGCTGAGGTCTCACTGCTCGTGCTGAAGCCACTAAGTCCTCGAGGAATGAGAAAATGACAGCTTTGATCTGGGGACCAAGCCAGCCTGGTGCAGAGCTTCTTTCCTGGAACTGCCAGCCAGCTCGCTGGCACTTGAGACCATGAAAATCCCCTTTCTCAGGGCTGGAGAGGAGAAGGACTCTCTCCACTCTGGTTTTGGAGCTGAAACTGAGCAAGAGAAAGACCTGTGGCTCCTTCTATTCAAAGCTGCAGCATGATGGAACATGCTTCTCCCCATCTCCAGCTCTTGCTGGTCAAGGAAGCTTATCCACGCTAAGTCTTTATCCTAGTTGTCCCAGTTAAAAAACAGATGTTGACAATTTCTGACCTGTGTGTACATCTGTGCTTTCAGACCACTGCACAGACCAGGAGATACAATGGTGCTGGTGAGCGTGGACAGGAAACAGAGCTGGATACAAATAGACAGGATATCACAGTTATGTACCAGACAAAACAGAGTAACCCAGATACCAAAGCTATAGATGGGGCAAGGGCAGACAGTCACTGCTTTTGCATTACTTTTTCTTCAGGACCTCTCCAGTTTTAAGTAGTAGACTCCAAGAAGATATTGCCAAAATCAGGCAGATGGAAAATAAACTCACCTCAGCTCTGTCCCGCTTGGTACAAGTGAGAGGATGCAAGATAAAGTACAGTGAAAATGGACTTTGAATTACTCAAAGACTTTTTTTCTTGCTTTTCCTTTCTAATGATCATCCCCAAGTGATGAAAAAAGATGAGATCATCTCTTAGGCAGTCTTGCACCATGGGACAATCTTTATCAGTGTTAAGGAACTGACTTCCCACTCTCTAAGCTGCTGGAATGCAGTGGGGAGTAAGAGAGCTTGGCTCCAACACAGGAGACAGCAGCAGAAAGGACTGAGGCAGTTCTGGTTGATCTGCGAAGTACCCAGCTGATTTCACAGAACCACAGGCCACCAAAGTGCCTTATGGTTTTGTCCAAAGGACTTCTTTGTGCATGATCAAAATCATTCGTTGGAGTTTCAGGGAGGCTTCTCCCCTATGAAGTCAATATATTTTAATATGATGTAACACAAACCCAACTTTTTGGCTTTTGCTCTCTGCTGTGTAAAAGGGATTTTGATGGAAATGATGCAGCTGAATCCAAAGTGCTGAAAAAGTCTCAATCAGTTGCTGCCTAATCCTACAAGGACAACTCCACAGGCAGTTCAGGAGACAGCTGGGAAGCCAGGGATTTAATGGCACACCTCTTATCCAATAACTAAGAAATCTGTTTGTTGGGAAAGGTGTTTCTGCAGACTGGTCTCTGCTTCCATCACTGCCTCTGTATTTTATCAATTTAAAGGACCATGTACATATTTGTTGGATAAGAAGACAGAAGCAGCCCTGGAAGAGCAGATGGAAATCCAGGTATCACTGAGCTGCACATCGTAATGCTGAGATGCACAGACATACTTCATTTCCCCTGGTAAATCATTACAGCAAAAAATACAAAGATTTCCCTGGGAAGGGTCAAGAATGCTTCCTAGCTTCTTGAATGCAGCCTGTTTGAGAGAAAAGCCTCCTGGGAATCAAGTAGTATGCTAAATCCAAGCATGCAAGAGTCCTTGGCAGAAACAATGCTAGGCAAATGCTGTAATTTTTATACAGTCACATCAGAAACAGGTAGGTGAGATGGGCTTCAAATCCTGCATAACTGGAATGGGACTGTAAAAAGGAGTAACTGCTCAGGCACACA